TCCGTCACCTCCGGCACCGGGCCGGCACCTCCATCACCCCCCGGCACCGGGACTGGCACCTCCGGCACTGGTACCGGCACCTCCGGCACCGGGACCGGCGCCTCCATCACCCCTTGGCACCGGGACCAGCACCTCCGGCACCGGCACCCCTGGTACCGGGACCAGCACCTTCGTCACCCCCCGGCACCGGTACCGGCACCCCCCGGCACCGGGAGCGGCACCGCCGGGCTGGGACCGCCCCGCCAAGGGAAGGGGACCGGTCACACACCGGTCACACACCGGTCACACACCGACCCGCGAGAACCCACCCCCTTCATGAGTAACGATCCCAAAACACCGGTGCGCTGAGCGATCCGTACCTCCTTTCACACCAGCAGCTGCTGTGGCTTCAGCCCCCTCGCAGGCTCCGGAATCCCTGTGCTGGATTCCCTCCTTGTGGGACGCCGGGATGTCTCTGTGCCCGGGGAGGAACGTGCAAGTCCTGTCCCTGCTCTGACCGGAGCCCCGCAGTGCAGGAGCAGAACCTGCTCCTGTCCCGCCTGACCCGCGCTGGAGAAAGTCAGCGAAAGAGAAAAGCAGCCTTGGGGCAGAGCCAAATTAGTATTACCCGGTAATGGGATTTCAGCGAGTACTAACCTTGAATTTCCTGACCCCTCTGCAGACCGTGATGTGCAGGGCCCTGCAAGGATGTTTTAACAACTCCAGCACATCTACCTTCCGGGTGCTTCGGTGAGATTTTATGTTATCAGTAGTTCTCTCCCAACACCCAGAGATCTGTGTTAGCTCAGTGAGGGAATCTGAGAAGAGGCACCCCAAAACAGCAGGCAAGGATTTGCCTCCTAGAGAGCACAGCAGAGTCTGCCTGAGGTTAGTGAACTCTTGTCCAGGACATTGGAGAAGTTTCTTGGAGCAGATTCTTGTTCCTCCAAAGGTGAGCTGAAATTACAGACCCCTCTCTTGAGGACAGCAAGGTACAGTTGTGCAAGAACCTCTCCTGTGCTTTAGGTTTTCACAACAAGATTTGGAGGGCAAGGATGGGCCAGAGAATGACCTGCTCCAGGGGTGGGGAACCTCTCATTGCCACATCTCCTAGCATGGGCACTGAGAGAGCAGCTGATTGTCTGAGCCCTCATTGCCCCGAGGCAGTGAGGGGCTCATTGAGGTGTTGTGCAGCTGCACAGCCTCCTGTTCCCTTTCCTGGACAGGAGGAACCCTGGGGTCCTGCTCCTGAGGGCAAAACCCCCAAGGGCTTTAGGGGGGGCCTGAGCGAGCCCCTCTGTGTGGCTGTAAAAGGCCTTTGTCCATGTGGTGCTGTGGAGGCTGAAATCTGACCTTCTGGGTGTGGGGTTTACACAAGTCCAAGAGCTCTTAGGGGAAGGAAACAAGAGAGTAGATGAGTTACAAAACCTACCTGGTTATTTGGGATTAACTTGAAGGCAGATTTTAAAACCTTCACTGGAAGAAATGACACCTTACTCCGTGGTGTAAGGGGTGTCACTGGTTCAGCCTGCCTGTGCTTTGACAATCTCAACCAAATGTACCCAAGGTCACATTAACTTCTGCATAATTCTTGGTTTAATACCTAACCAGGATTCACCCTGTCAGCTCATGGCCAGAACGTGGGGAGATCAAACTGAAAGTCAGCTTTATTTTTGTTTATTAAAAGTGAGGGTTTTTTTGGATCACAGCCTTTTTTTGCTTGGTTTGGTTTGGTTTTTTTCTCTGTGGTTACACAACGCTGAGCACACCTCGATGCTCCTGCAGTCCAAAGATAATTGCTCTGTGCTGAAGCAGTGAAAGGGTAACTTCTGGCCATGAATGTCACGTTCTGCCTTATGTCATCTGCAGAAAAGCATCATCTCACCTAGCTACTGAACTCAGAGGGACTGACACCTAACTCGAGCTCCTGCATGTGACTAAAAAGACTTCAAACCCACCTGAGACAGACAAATGTAACACGGGGCACATTTGCATACCCTGCTGGAGGAAGGCTGCGAGAACATGAGAAAGGAGAAGGCAGTGAGAATTGCTGAGGGAACTGGGGTGAACACTGTCCATCTAATCCTGATCTACTGATCTTTACTGTGGTCCTGGGGACATGAGTTGACCATGGGCTGGAGATGTTCTTGAACCCTCAGCACGTCTCCATTGCCTCACCCGTTGTCCCTTCTGCAGCCAGGTACAATTTTCCACATTTCAAAGACAAAGATCTCCCTTTTCCCTGCCAAAGGAAACACTGTCACAGCTGCCACCAAACCAGCTCCTTGTGAACAACATGCACGTTGAGGAAAACCCTTTCTGCTTCCAAAACCAAGTTCCTGGCACCAGAGGTCTGGTTTGCAGTCAGCATTTTGCTACGTCCCTGTCACGAGTTTATGTCTTTAGTGTCTGAGATTCACCAACCTGACTCAGCATCTGAGTCCTTGTTCACCATGTTGGATGTGGTGCAGACACTTCATGCTCAGCTTCCAGCCAGGCAGAGCTGCAAAGCAGCAGCCAGTGACCACCCAGCCAGGAACAGCCCATGGCTCAGGTCAGCACCGTTTGGTTTAATGCCCGTGTGGTATTGAAAAGGCACAGACTCATTTCTGGGATCAAATTTATACTCCAGCCCTTTCACCAGGATTAATTAGCTTTTGGCCATGGCTGCAGGCAATGCCCAGAAAGGCTGTCAGACATTTCACATCATGGGGAATGATGTGTGTGTCACCTCTTCTCCTTCGGCATCACTGCTGCTCCTGCAGCCAGGGGCTTGGCAGAACTGGGCTCCTTGCCTGGCTCTGTCCGCAGGTGAGGGAATCTCAGCCTGGCTCTGACACTCCCAGCTGGTCTCTCTTCCTCCCACAGCAGGGCATGGGCAGCCCGTGAGTGCTGAAAAGCCGTCAGTGAGGTGGGGACTGTGATAACTCATTAAATGGATAGGGCTGGAGAGCAATTAGTGACTCACAGGGGGATGGAGACGAAGGCAAATGGAGGCAGGCGGTGCTGATCACCTTGCACCGAAATCTGCCTCAGTTGGGGTGCGTGGAAAAGCCAAGGTTGGGGTGAAAAAGGCTGATGGGGCAGCCTGGAAAAAGAGCTCATGGGGGATAAATGCGGGGAGCGATGGGGCTCGGAAGCTGCCGGAGGATGGGGCGAGTGGTCTGCGGGGGCTGTGCGGTGTGAGCCACGTACCGAAGGGGAGGGATCCCCGCTCTGCATGTCCTGAGCCGGCCCCCCCAGAGCCCTCGCCCCTCCCTCC